TGTGTGAGGGTGTGTGTGTGAGGGGGGGTATGAGGGTGTGTGTGGGTTAACATGGCCATGCTGATGGAGTTGTACTTGACTTTGTTGGTGAGCTCTCTGAACGGCTGCTCTCTCTCTCTCTCTCTGATCCTCCCTGCAGTGCGCAGCGGGTACAGGATTCAGGCCAATCAGCATAATGATGACATGCGGGTGCTGTACTACGTGGAAAAGGAACTCGCCCATTTTGACCCCAAGTCTCCTGGTGACCCCAGCTCAAAATATGAGAACAGTGAGTTTACAGAAAGGGCCTCCTGTGTCCAAGAGACACGGTACATTGTGCAATGCAATTTGTCAGCAAATGATTTATAGAAACCATGTGATAGATTGCGACTGTGTGGGTATTGCGGGGATCTCTGGGTGGTTGATGTTCTGTGTTTGCCTGTTTTTTTTTTCAGTTGTTGCATGGTGCTCTCTCGTCTGTAGCTGTGTTGTTTTTTTTTGTGTGTGCGTAAAACTTTGATCTTTATCCTTACTCACTGTCTGGCCACGTGAATCCAAGGGGCCGTTTTGTGTCTCACAGCACATCCATCTTTCTCTGTCTCTGTCTGTCTCCTGCAGCTTCCGCAATGAGCGAGGTATCCTCCCTGCATGAAGATTACGACACGAGGAACAACCTACACAGCAACATTAGCCGCGTTCGCATGCAGGCTATGCCCCCCATCCGGGACATGGATGAGCAAAGTGTCGTGAGCAGTGTGTCCCGTCAGACACCAAGACGGTCCTATGGTTGGCACGGCGCTGATCGCCTATACCAACGAGCCCGGTCGATGGAGAGCCTCGACGACATAGGCAGGCGGAATCGGGAATACCCCCGGGATCGGCAGGAATTCGATCGCGGCCAAGGGAGGCGTGAGTCTGATAGCGAGGCGTCCAGCCGTGGCTATGCTCAGGACAGGAGACGGAGAGATTATTCCCCCGAGTCCCGCCATGGAGAGTACAGGAAGCGGAGCCATAGCCGCGATGATCTGATGGAGCTGGAGCGAAGCCGGGACTGTGCCAGACGGGGCTATGATGAGTCCTTCCTGGACGAGGTTCTCCGCAAGAAGCGCGGCGCAGGCCGTGATGCAGACAGCAGCAGCGGCTCAACCGCAAGATCCCGGGCCAGGAGAGATGAGGATGTGCCCCAGCCACCACCATACACCGAGACAGAGTCCATGTCCTCCAGGGGGAGAAACGAGAAGAAGCTCAGGAAGGTCAGTCAACTGACAACCGTGTCTAGAGTATTGTGGTCAGTTCTGGGAACCTTATTTGAGGAAGGATAGAGAGTGAGCACTGTGAAGCTTTACTGAAATTATACCAGGAATATGAGGGATTTTAGATGCAAGGAAAGACGAGAGAAATTGGGCTTATTCTCCTTGGAGCAGCGAAGATTAAGAGGTGACCTCATTGAGGTGTTCAAACTTACAAGCAATTTTGATGGAAGGATATTCTGTTTGCAATAGTTGGTGTATCAGTAACTTGGGATCACAATTTCAAAATTGTCAGCATTGGAGCTAGGAGGGAGATAAGGAGGAACTTCTTAGAGACTTGTTAGGATTTGGAATGCGCTGCCTGGGAGAATGCTGATGGCGGATTCCATAGGACATTTCAAAACAGAGCTGGGATATATATGAAGTTAGAGGGCAACGGAAATAGGCTGGCGAACGGGACTGGCTGAGTAGCTCTTTCGGGAGCCAGTACAGACACGCTGGGTCGAATGGCCTCCTTTTGTAATGTAGAATTCTACGACTTTAACTCAAGGTTGCACAGGATGGGGGTGAGTGGGAGCGAGGAGAATTTATAAATTGTGCTCATGATCTTTAAACAAAGGGCTGTCTCGTTGCTGATAGCCTAAAGCTGGGTGATCACCCCTAAAACAGTGGGCTCTGAGTTCCAGTGTTGTTCTTGAGTTCAGGACTAGCTCTGGTCCTGGGGTCCGGGGTCTGGGCTTTGGCCTGCGGTTAGAGTTAGTTGATTTTGTAGGACACGAGTCCTAGCTGCTGACAGAGAGAGTGAAGAGTCTCTTACTGCCTCTGTAGAGAGAGCGTTTGACCCACTCAGTCCCTGAAAGAATAAAGAAACTGTTTTGTATGTTTTACAGAATGATGCTGTCAGCCGTGAGAGTTTGGTGGTTTAATGGATGGCGTTCCCAGACCAGTAGAGGGTTAACACAGGATCAAATTCCCTGTAACGACAGAAAACTGGAACTAACCTGCATCAGCCTTTTTCACCTGTGGCAAAATCCTTTGACAATCCAATTCTTTATTCCTTCTCCAGACGGGTCGAAATAGCTGTATTTCTTTTCAATTATTGGTTTTGCAAAATTTTTTTGAGATTTAATAGATCCCAGATTTCACTGGAGAAGTATTTGAAGATTTCTCTGAACTCCAAGCCATTTTGCAGTCAAAATTCTGGAATGATTTTCCATCTTAACTCACTACAATTGTGGGAGGAGGTTAAAGGATGAGCATTTAGAAATTGCAATACCTAGGGAAGTTGGGGTGGGTGAGGATGCTCCTGCCTCAGCTCACAACTCCCCTGCCCCTATCCCAGTTCCTTCTCCTGCCCCAGTTATTGAGGGATCAGGGCGAACAGTTTCTCCCTAGATTCCCCTGAAGATTTGACCAAAATATAGGGTGAGGGGGCAGTGGTACTGAGGGAGGGTAACTTTCTGTTTTTGTACAATTAGTATTGTTTTTTTTAAAAACTATGTAAATGTTTTTAGATTTTAAACACTTGTTTTTATACACCATAAATTGTTCTTGAAGTGTACTTTTTCCCCTGTGAGGATATCTTTTCTTGCACCATGTCTTTGCAGTATATCGGACATTCTAGTGTTTAACTTGTCTGCCGCAGTCTCGCAGAGCCTCCTGTAAACCAGGAGTTCAGAGCCGAGATTTAAAGCCCTCAGAGATTGCCCACGATGCTTGTAGACGATAGAGAATATGAATCTATAGGGGACTGAACTCAGCCCCATTTTGGACTGTTCCTGGGATCCTGTTAAGTGCCTCAGGCAGTTTCTCCCCTTCAAGCTCTGCTGTTCTGTAAACTGGGCAGTGTGAGTGAGTGAGCTCTGATGGCCCAGAAAGAATTCGTTGCAGCAATCACCATTTCCAGGACCTTAAAGTGGACCGTGTCTGTCTGCCTTGACCCTCTATTGTGAACTGGTTTATCACGTGCAGACTGTGATGAATCTGCTTCTGCATTTTGCAACACCACTGCTTCAGAGAATGCTGGGTTTTTTTTCTCTCTGAACTATCTTTTAAATACAATCAGGTCCCGCATTCTGTGTGAGAGAAGAGTTCAATATCTAGGACATATTACGTCCTAGTAGACACCACATTATATTAGGAAATTTTATTTTAAAATGGAAATAGATAGCAGTTATTGTGAAGATTGATTGAAATGAGATCGTTGACTGTGTACAGGTTCACTGATTTGGACAATAAAAGCACATTTGTATTAGCCTGTGATCTGAAGCTGATTAATGAACCAGGAAGCCAGCAATGAGACAGAACTTGGACGGTGTAAACTTGGAGAGGTTTTTACAGTCACCAGACTCCTGCGATCCAGTGTGCGATTCACTGGTAACCTGACACTCTGACTTGGTATAGAGAAAGTTTGTCCCCTGCTTACATCTTTCAGGGAATCACCTCTACACCATTGGGAGAGGGAGGGTCTGAAGTATAGTCTGATGGCAGGGGTATGGAGTAAGCATGCTCCATTACTCTGCATTCTGTCACACCTCCCTGGGCTGCTTCGTTTGAAATCGAGTCCCACAATTCCTGGGATCATCATAAATGTGTCCATTGGATCAAACACTGAAATTGTTTCAGTTCATATACAAGATTCCTTGCAAGGACTGCGACAAACGTTACATTGGACAGACAGGAAGAAAATTAGCCACAAGAGTACACAAAAATCTACTGGCAATAAAAAGACATGACCAATACTCACTCACTCTCCATCCATGTGGATAAGGAAAACCACCAGTTCAATTGGGACATCAATTGTGGTTGATCAGTTGGACCTAGGTCTTCTGAACCCAGATCTAGACTGACATCATTGATCCGGTTCCCTCCCCCGCATGATGACCCCTAATGACCTCATACTGATGATGTCAGATTTCTCACCCCATGCATAGCCCTCCCCTTCAGGCCCCACCCACCCCATGATGACCTCACTGGGACCCACTCCAATGACCTCACTGGGACCCACTCCAATGACCTCACAGTGCTCTGCCCCATGATCTCGCAGAGCTCACACCCTGGTGACCCCACACAGAGCCCCATCCACTAATGACCTCACTGAGCCCCACTCCCTGATGACCTCAGAAGGCCCCACTCACTGATGACCCCACAGAGACCCACGTCTGAGGACCTCACAGAGGCACACTCCCTGACAATCTCAGATGGCCTCACTCCATGATGACCTCACAGAGACCCACTCCCTGATGAACTCTCAGAGCCCCACTCGCTGATGTCCTCACGGTGACCCACTCGCTGATGTCCTCACGGAAGCCCACTCGCTGATGTCCTCACGGTGACCCACTCGCTGATGTCCTCAC